ACTTGACAGCCAATATCATTTGTCCGGTTGAGCCAAATTGCCGTTATTCACAAATTTTTGCCCAATAATGTATACTTGGTCGGTCAAACGAACTTCCACTGATAAAATTTTCTTTCTGACGTATTAAACTTTCGTTACGTGTTTTATTCATTGGAATAATCAGTACAATTGATTCGTTAAACTATTTTTTTACTAATAAAAATTTACCCTCAGACCCGTTCCGACGGGTTGATTAAGGTGCTTGAGAACACCCTTAATTATGTAAAATATCTCGATTATAAAATAAGGAAGTTCTTATTAATTACAGCGCAGTGCTATTAATTGTACGTCCAATGGCATTAAAAGTCAATTGGAGCAATTGATTTTATTAAGAAATATGTTTTCAATGAGTATAGTACTTCCAATGTTTAATATAACAGTGTAATTCGGAAATTCATTTCGAAAAAAATTAAAAATAAATGATTGATCTGATTTATCTTTGATGAATTGATTTATTTATTTAAGCATCAATAATAAATATCTACAACTTCTTTGTTCGCAAATAAACCATACATTTTTATACAGTATGAAAAAAATTAAGTCATTAATTCTAATCTTCGTGTTAATACTTTTTTCACAAATAATTATCGCAAAACACGATAATGGATTAATGGATACGTCCCGTTTCACACCTAAAAATTTAAAACAATTAATGAAAAACAACGGCGATGGTTCATTTGACATTCATACTCCCTGGTCATCATACGAAAAATACTGTATAGAAATCCATACACCACCTGCGAATACAGTATTAATTCCATTTTATAAAATTTATATAAGTTGGATTATTCTTAGTCCTCAATCTTCAGCGTCTTCTAATGATGAAACATTTAAAAGTTCTTGTAATTTAATCGCACCACCGACAAATTTTATAATAACATTACATAATGATCCAAAATCTTCTGGAAATGAGTATTCTCAAAAGGTCACATCCAAATGGTCAATTCCTATTGCATCAGATGTTAAACCGAATTCTTATCTTTGGACAGTTCCATTACTAGAGAATTCTGATAGTAATAATTCTCTTGGTAATGGAATAGGTGGAATTTCTAACATAGATATGGGAGAGAAGAAGATTAAAAATATGTCATTATTTTATATTCGAGTCGAATCGAATGCTATGGTAAATAATGTGATGGAAACTGTATTTGGTGTTGTTGGGCCTTTGACTGTTTGGAATACTCCTGATAAAGAAAATAAAACTTTGTTTTTACCTGAAAAAAAAGAAAAATTACCTCCAATACTTAGTGATGGAACTAGATTGGGAAAATTGGTGAACGTAATTATTATAATTGTATGTATTATTTTGGCTAGTAGTTTGATAAGAATTTAATTCAAGAAATAGAATTTTAAACTTTCGGTACTGATAGGTGGATGTTATACTGTTTTATCATAACCTAATAATATTTAGAAAATCAATTCCATTACTTTTTGATAATGTGTGGGTTCAATAAATACGTACATGTATACTTATGTGTGTACCTGGTCATTTTCGTGCGTGTAATTGGATCGCTTTTACATATGATACACAGATTTTACCCACTTCTACGGTGGTGGGTGAAATTATGTATTAAAATAGCCGCGCTGAAATTAAAAACAGGATTAATTTTGATATTGTTGTTTTATGAAGCTATAATACCTTAATATAATAAATTAATAATATAATTATGGAAATAGATGAATTGCTTTATTTTGAAATATATTCTTATGAAAGTGGAAATATTGTTCGAAATGATTCCTATCCAAAGTCGAAAGTTGAGTCGTAGGTTGAGAACTGAGCCTAAAATTTGAGAATCATTTCTCAAAGGTTTGCGCAAATTTGAGCACATAGTTTAGCATGATAGGCAAAGAACAGATAACCCTACCATTTTTTTAATTAACATCAGTGAGAATTATAGTTGTTAGATGAAACCTCAAGGTTTCGCGTTGACGAAGCGCGTAACCTAGTTTCGTCTTTCGTCAATTAAAATTTTAAATGACGAAATAACGAAACTGACGAAAATGTAAAAGGTGGCAAAACTAATAAAAGACAAATGTACAAATAAATGTTGTTGAAAATCATTGAAGATTATGTGTATAAAAAAATAAAATTTATAAAAATTACAAAAAATTTTATCGTATAATAGACACTTTGAATTGTTTAAAGAGTTCGAAATGAGTATTCAATATTATATTATACATATCGGTTTTGGTGAGAAATCGCTTGGTGCTTATTTTGCGATCTTACAAATTTATTCTGTGCTAGTATCATTATTTGTGTTATTCCATGAGTACTATGGCTTTTTGACATGGTTATTTCAATCGATCTATAACAACCCTAGCAAAAAATGAACTGATTTATTTTTGCTGGCATACGTGTAATTTAATTTCGGATACTGATCTCTGTGAATGTTAATTCACTAAAAATAACATTCGTTTTCTTTTTATGCTTTTTTTTTATCGGGAGCACTAGAGTATCGTCTTTTTGATTGTAAGGTTTCGTCATTTTAAGGTTTCGTCTTTCGTCAGAAGAATTTGGGGTTTCGACATTTGTCAGAGGTTTCGTCTTTCGTCATCATGCGAAAAAGATTTCATCTAATAACTATAGTGAGAATTGAGTCTTTTCTTCAAGACCATAAAATTCTAAATAGGGTGGACGGTTAAAAATTAGAACCTACTGGTTTGCTTAATTATTACATAATTCTGAAACGCATGTGGTCATCAGCGCGTCAATCAGTATCAGGAAAATTAACGTTAAAATTTTTGCCGTTACGGGCCAATCATTAGACAAATTATCGTATGAGCACATTTATAAAAAAAATATATTAGATGAGGAAAAGTATCAACTATCATATTCTTCAAGCGAATTTAAAATACACAGGATACAAAAAAGGTAAATTCACAACTGTATATTATATTATATTCATTGCCTGAGATCTTTAACAAGCGTATGGGCCGATTTTTTTGATATACTTTTCAAAACGATCTAATTCTGGTCAAATTTGCTGATCATTTGGCCCAGTTTAAAACTGATAAGCCAAGGGCCAAATGATTAGCAAATTTGACCAGAATTAGATCGCTTTGAAAAGTATATGAAGTATAACAATTAAATTTATTCATGATTCGAACGAGGTAATATTAATATAATCAAAACTTTGTCAATGAAATAATATTAATATAATTAAGAATTTGTCAATGAGGCAATAGTTGATATCTTTCTTAAAATACGTACTATAGAATTTCAAGAGAAGATACTATATTATGGCTTTGGAATATTCGAGTAAAGACTCTTTGCGTTAAAGTCTTCGGTTTATAACACCAATGAAATGGAAAAAATAAATCTGTTGTATTGAGTCGTTTCATATTTGAAGTAATCCATTCACGAGAATTAATTCATCAAGATTACGTTCTAGAAATATCATCTACATAGTACGTATATTACAAATTTGAAACTTCCAATATTGTCTAATACTGGACAAATAGGAGAAATTAACCATATTATAAAATAAGCTTCCAATATAAAGCTAATATGCTTCAAATTAATCCTTAGTGTTCTCAAACCACTGAAACTGGTTTTGGGGTTCTCAAGCTGCTGAAAAATTCAAACTAAAACGAATATATCAATGGATAAGGTAAATATAATCGTAAAAAAAATGAAAACCAATTTATTTACAACTATTAAATTAAATTATTAGAATCGATAGATTAAGCTTATAATAACGAAGCTAAGTTATTAGACCCAGAGATGGCGGTTTTGCATTTAAACCGTTGGTAGATGCCATATATCACACAACAATCTGGTGAGTTAACTTTCCACGCAAATAGCTGATGTCTATGTCTACGGAGCTATTATATCCAAGTTATCAACTGAAGAATGTTTGATTAGAAATTCGACAGAGAGGGAAAAGGGATTTGATAAGAGAATATCTGATTGTATTAGGCTAAATTAGCCAAAAGATGATCAGAATAACGACCCACAGCAACCGCTATTAGTAACAAATTGGTCATTAACCTGAGGAAATGAACTAAAAAAATGATAGTGAAATCAAGAAACAAATACCTGGAACCTGACAAAATTAAACTTAAGAATCATCAAAATAACCAACATACGGGAGGTAATAGATAGACTATCACTGATCAAAGATTCCAAATCAGAAAATTAAATCAGGTTTAATAGATACGTAACAAACGCCCTTCAGATCTTTGTAAACATACACTTTATGGTTTCGTCACCTGATAACTAATTTTTTTTCATGAATTAAAACACTACTTTGAACGAAATCTACCAAAAAAAAAAAAATAGTCAAGACACATTTGGAAGGGAGACCTGATGTTTACTTTTGAAAACAGATCAGTTTATATATCAGCATATGTGGTCGTTATTTATGGTTCAAAAAAACGTGGATAAAATTCAATTAAATACAATAGAGGAAGTCCTATGACGCGTCTGGGTATAGTACATCGTGGATTTACTATCAGGGGTATTTTATACAGATAATTACACAGTACTTAAATGTTCATTACAAGTCCTCCGCTATGTTCCAAAAAACTACATCAAAAGTGATAGTTAAAAAAAAAAAAAGATGAACTTTCGGTTTTTATAAAATCTTTTACGGAAAATAGTAGCACCTATTTTTTTTAAAAAGACTGTAACAATTACGCGATTTTTCATGTAAGTCTAATCTCATTCGTAACTATCGAAGTCATAATAAATTCCTGAACGACTTGGTTTTATTTTTTAAATTTTCGCTTCAAAGATTTTTTTTTTTTAATAATATTTGACTTAATGAATTTTTTTTCACGCTCGGAACAAGTTCAAAGCTGTAAGAGATTCTGATATTTCTTTTTTTTAAATACAAAACTGTAAAAGCGATTGTAGAAGAACTGGAAAGCTTGCCCGCAATTTAGTGATTTTACTTTGTAAGCTAAGAATGTTGAAAGATGTATTAATGCTACGTATCCATTCATGGTGTCGAAAAGAAACCAAAAATTGAACTGCTTTTGCATGAGCGAATTTAAACTTATGACGAAGACCTCAACAATCAGAAACCTATTGTTACGTGTAATAAATTTATAGTATGAGAAAAAATTTTATATTAGGCCATGCAAAATTTAATAACCGGGTGGGTTTTTTAAAAAATTTTTTTTATACAGCTATTCTCATAATTTCTTATATACGTAATTAAGATCAGGTACTAATATAAATATTCTTGAATATTTTATCTCTAGTAGAATACAGAAATATAATATCTTCACTGGAAAATATTTTAAAAAAAAATTTTTAGAAGGCCTATCATTTCGAAAAATTACCAAACTCTTATATCATTTATAAGTCGAGTTCTTAAGCACTTTCAAAAATATGGATGTATTGAAAAGCTTCCATCACTTTCAGAACCACGTTCACTGAACATGAATGATACAAAATATTTTAAAAAAAAATATGGGTCGGTTAGACGTTATAACAATTTGAAAGTAGTTTTATTATACGGATCGTGCCGAAAATTGGCGAATTATGAAAATAGCTGTAAAAAATTTTTTTAAAAAAAAAGCCGGCCAGCCGGGTCTACTTAAAAGTTTCACGTTATGAAAACCAAGTAATTAAATTTGTATGGCCTTATAATAAAATTTTCTGTTCTTATCGTTGTGAATTGCTAATTAAATATTTTTTGACAAATACTGTATTAGTATAAATATAAAATTAAGCCTATTTAAATATAATGCTGACGCATGGTATTCAAATGATAGACGGAGAGGACAGTCAGCTAATCGATTTGTACGCGTTTTTCATTAACGTTATTAATAAAAAAAAAAAAACAAATATTAGTGACCACATTTATAATGCTAGACAAAAAAAAAAAAAAAAAAGGTTAGCTATAATGAACGCGTTTATATAACTTTTGGCACTAAACACGTATTACATTAACGAATATTAACGAATATTTTCTGAAAATGGTAGGCCTTGGTCCTAATGAAGAGGAAGATCAAGGGTTTGTTTTTATTCGAAGAAAGAATGCCCCACTGCAGGAATCTATTATTCCTATTCCCCTCACAGAAACGCCAATTATCAAGAAAAATCAGGTTATTAGACAAAGTAAACGGCGTTCGAGTTTAGAAAAAAGAGGAAGAAGAGCATCTTCAATTGGTAACGGATTTGTAGGTTTGTAGATGCTGGTACATTTCACATTTGTATTAAATTGGCTGGTAATCGAACATACATACAAATGAATCACAATGATTGAAATATTCAATGAATCCAGCCAAACCACATCCAGATGTGAATTCAAATGAATTTTTTCGTCATATTCAGGCAGAAATGCCTGAACCAATAAAACTCAGACAACTTTTGGCATGGTGTGGACAAAGGACTTTAGATAAGCAAATTTCAGCAGATGAAAATGCACTAAAAATTGGTAAGGGCGATATTACATTTCTTTTGTTATCGAATCTATTATCCTATTCGGTATTTACTTTAAAATTGTAAACAGCAAAAATCATAGAGCAAGAAGTATTAGACGATTTAATCGATGGCAAAATCAGTACGTCATGGTATCATCGACAGGTATCGATATATGTATTTTTTTTTGGGGGGCGTGTTTTTTTTTTAATAGCTGTCTTTGTGCATATTTACATTTATTTGCTTGTTATCTGGTAATAAATTGGATTGCACATAATGATTATACGAATATGTAGAATGGACATGATTCTTTAGAAAAAACTCTGCCGCGAAAGCCACACCCACAAAATATCGTAAATCAGCGAAAATTAAAAGAACATGAGGCAACTTTGCAAAGGTGAGAATGCTAGATCTTATGTCATTGTAATATTTATATTCGTAAACAAATATCATCTAATTTTTTTCAGATTGAAAGCAGAATATGAAGAATGGTCGAGATTGATTTCAGAAATCAATTCTTCTTATGCATCAGTTGTCAATGTTGCACCATCAATTCCTTCCAGTGAAGACAAAATTTCTACTTCACCAGATGAAATAGATATGTCTTATTTACCGGAGGAGCAACATAAATTTTTATTACAATATTACAATGAAGATGAGAGAACCAAAATAAATGACATAGAAAGAATAATTCAACCTCTCGAGCCTCAGGTATTTAAATGTTATACTTAAGAATAGAAATCTTTCTTATGTTTCACCTGGTCATATTTTGCTTTTATTCGTTTAGCTTGACCACATATACAATCTTTTTTATCACGCGTCCAATTTCAATACTGCCGCCCAAATTTATTGCGAGAACTTGCATCATAAACTTTCATCAACATTCTTACACAAGCAACAATTAGAACGCGGTGAAATAGAAACCAAACATGTATTACAAGCTTTTTCTCGTATCCGATAATTAAATACGTTTCGGTTGTCCCATTTTCTATCAGTAATGTCAAACTCGGAACAAATTAAATTTATTAAATTTGCAATAATTGATACAACATACGTGCATTCATTAATATTATATCGATATTACAGTATTAAAAAATTATACGCGAGTAAATATTAATCTCTGATCTGGTCCAAGGATTGGACAGATTAAATATGGCATTAACTTATATTATACTATATATTTAATAATTTTCGTTTGGGCAAGGTTACCACATTTGCTTGATTCTATATCATTGTTCATGGGCGCTAAAAGTATCAAAGTCATAGTATAAGCATTTGGTGGTCCCGCGGATTGTAAGAAAAAAAAACAAACAAGAAATAGCCTAGATTTGTTAATAACACTAGCATCTAGTTATATTTATAGATGCTGGTGAAATATGGTGAAATAATTTCACCACTATTGGTGAAATTGGTGGTGAATTGGTGTAATTGGTGAAATTAATCTCACCAGCATCTATAGTTATATTCTTATTTTATATTTGGTTCGTGTTAGGTCGATCAAGTGATAGACCGATGGTTTGATTTTCGATCAAATGTGCATGATCATCAAAATTTATCTTAAATTTACAAATATTATCTGTTATATATCGTTATATCGCACGCACGTACGTACGCACTTATCTTGATTCCGTGATACCAAGATTCATGGTTCTCCAGCTTGATTAGAATATAGAGACAACCTTTTAAATTTAACACGTGTAAATCAACATTTAAATTTGCGCTATATCATGCTACCTCATAATTATCTACTATTAAATAAATATAATTTTTTGAAAATATAACCATTATCAATCAATATTTATAAAAATTAAAATAGAATTTTCATAGCTTGAAGCTGTAGTTTTTAAATCCGGATTTATAAATACGAAGGTTTTGAACCACAATAAAATCCAATTTTTCGCTATCTCAGGTGATGCCATGTTCTTCAATTTATAAATTCTCAAATAAAATCATTTTTCATTCAATAAATGACCAAAACTTGATTAGTTCCTTTTTGTAAAGCCTGGTAAGTCCCTCACTATTAGGTTAGTTGAAAAATTGTCGGTGATAAGTTTTTGATGTCGGTCGACGTCGGTAACTCCTTGATTCTGCATCGGAGTTGGGGCTCTCATCAAGATCTATCACGTGACAGAGTGAATGGTAATATTCGTGTCACTTTAGGTATCATAAAGGCTATTTTATCATCTTGTCTCTCCGAACGTAATTTTAGAAAGTGTATAATGGCAGATACTCAAATGCAAACCGACGTTCCAACACCCGAGGATTCTCCTGACTCTTCAAAAAAAGTCTGGCCTGGTCGTTGGACTCATATTAATAAAATATTGGATCGGAGAGGACCTTTTTGTGACAAGAGTTTCAATCCTGGTCACGGTGAGGTATAGATAACTTATCAATCGTTACCTTTTGATCTTTAGAATAAGTCATTATTAAAAGAGAGCTTTCCATAATGAACCTACAGGATATTTTACTTAATCAATGCAGAATTCTTGTAATCGGTGCTGGCGGTCTTGGATGTGAGATCTTGAAAAATTTGGCTTTATCTGGTTTTAAGGATATCGAAGTTATTGACATGGATACCATCGATGTTTCGAATTTGAATAGACAATTCTTGTTCAGGTATAACACGAGCTATTCAAACAAATATTATATGATCTTGATTATTTTTATCGATTTTATTGATTTTATTACTGGCGAAATAGACCGGCTGATGTTGGAAGTCCTAAAGCTAAAGTTGCCGCAGAATTTATAATGAAGCGAGTTGCAGGTGTAAAAGTTTCTTAGTACGTATAAATGCTATTTTAAATGAATCGACCTTTTCTTCTTTAAATAATAATCTTTCAACAGTTATCACGGAAAAATCCAGGATAAAGATGATGATTATTATCTTGGCTTCCACTTGATCATTTGTGGACTAGATTCAGTGGAAGCGCGAAGATGGATTAATGCTACGTTGGTGAATATTGCACAGGATGATCCCGAAAAAATCCGTGTTTTGATCGACGGTGGGACTGAGGGTAGGGATTAAATAAAAATATTTAAATATAATTATCTAAAGAATCTTAACATTAAAAATTGTTGATCTCTATTTAAAATTCATGTAGGTTTTAAGGGTCAAGCACGTGTGATCATTCCGACGGTAACATCCTGTTATGAATGTTCGTTAGATATGTTAAATAAACAAACTGCATTTCCAATTTGCACCATTGCAAATACACCAAGGTTGCCCGAACATTGTATAGAATGGGCGTCAGTTATACAATGGCCAAAAGAACGTGAAGGTTAGATATTAGAACTTGTGATTATTCATTTATATAATAAGATAATTTAGATTATTTTTTTGTGTCTAGGTGAAAAGATGGATACTGATGATCCAACGCATATACAATGGTTGTATGATATTGCACTCAAAAGGGCGATGGAGTTTAATATTACGGGTGTTACATACTCGCTCACCCAAGGTGTTGTAAAAAATATTATTCCGGCAATTGCTTCAACAAATGCTATCATTGCGGGTAATGTGTTATTGTAATGATTTTGTTTTCATTCTTACAAATTCTTTTTGTCTCATAATGGTATTTTTAATTCATATTTGCAGCTGCATGTTGTAATGAAGCATTTAAAATAGTCACAACTTCGCAACCTTATTTGAACAACTATATGATGTATATAGGTAACGAAGGTGTGTACACTTATACATTTGAGCATCAGAAGAAAGATGATTGTCCGGTGTGTGGAAATCAAAGCGCATTTTTAGATATTGCTAAAGAAATTACCGTTGAAGATTTTATTGAACTTCTTAAAGAAAAGCCTAGCATGTGAGTTTTATGATATGACTGAATATTTATTATTGATGTTATGTAATTGACTTTGTCAAAATTTCTTTATAATATAATAGTCAACTTAAGAAACCTAGCTTAACAACGGACACTAATGAAAAAATATATTGGCAATCTCCTCCGTTCTTTGAGCAACGTACTAGACCAAATTTAGTGAAGCAATTATCAGAATTGGTTAAAGATGGTGGTACCATAATAGTCACAGATTCTACTTTACCTATTTCGTTAAATGTTACTGTTTCCTACATTTAGACAACACAACACAAATAAGAATATACCATTTGCTATACTTTATAATCTTTTCCTGTAATTGTTATAGATGAATGTGTTAACTAATCTAACAGTAGTGATATAACAAACACTTGTGAGCCATCATATGTCTATATTTAACCAATCTTGATTTGATATATTTTTTGGAAGTGGACAATCAATTCACATAAATTCTGAGAAAACTGATAAAATGATTTAATTATCCGGATTATCAAACTATGGAACGATCTTGAGTGAAACTGTAAATATTTATGTTAGGAATTTTAAGTCCGGATTTAAAAAGTTTGGTCCTAAACGAGTTCATGTTCTCAATCCGAAACGATCTAGCCTCTAATGTTTAATATACAGATAATTTTTTGAACTTGGTATTTACTAAATTTAACCTAATAGCCATTTAGCACTAAAGTAATCTCTGTTATATAACTAAACAAAAATACTTTTTTTACAATTTACTTTAATTCTAATTTTAACCTTTAACTTTACTCTTAACTCTAATTTTAAATAGCATATAAATTTTTTTTATTTTAATAGTATAGCTATATACAGTATATATACCTAGTATTATTATATAAACACAAATGCAAATATAAATTACACTAAACTAGATATTTTATATTTACAGTATGTTTAAAAATAACAATATTTGGTAAATATTGTTCATAGATTAACTAATTAAATATTTAAATATTAGACAACATTTGCTAAATATTATTTAATATATATATATTTTTAAGATTAAGGTAATCTCTTTTAGTGTTTCTAGTTGGTAAAATTTTGCTAATCAACTACAGTAGTTGCCAACTAAGTTGCCAACTAATCGATTATTTATATTACATGACATCATTAGATAATTAGCCAATCAAATCCAAGAAATCATTACAAATTAGCCCAACTAAGCAGAATATCTTGGAATTATATTATTAATTGAATAATTAGTTGTTTAGTTGTTTAAAAATTTTTTAAATTGATTAGTTGAAAAGTTGGCAACAGTTGGTTTTTTAACTAATGATTTGGAACACTAATCTTTTTGGCTATGAAAACTTTTTATTAAGTGTTAAGTTAATTGATGATTCTCCAGTCAACTGATATATGATCTTAGTAAAAAGTGACTCAGATTACTATATAAATTTACTATGGTGCGAATGTGGTGTTCATGCAAGGTAAACTTTTTTCATACTAAGTTAATCATCTTTCTTGCTTAAGAGACTTTTGTAAAGCTTGTCAAGACACATCTAATGGTAGTTAGAGCGTCAAAATTAGCCTGGTGAGTACTAAGATATCTTTAAAAAACCTCTCTTTTGCTATGTAAATTTCTTTGCAAACAATACTACTACAATACTATTATTTGCAAAGAAATTTACATAGTAAAAGAGAGGTTTTTTAAAGATATCTCAGTACTCACCAAGCTGATTTTGATACTCTAACCACCATTAGATACATTTTAACAAGCTTTACAAAGTCTCTTAAGCAAGAAAGATGATTAACTTAGTATAAAAAAAAGTTTATCTTGGGCGAACGCCACATTCACACATAGTAAATTTATATAGTAATTTGAGTCACATTTTACTAAGATCACACACCAGTTGACTGGAGAATCATCAATTAAGTGTATTATTATATAATAATTAGAGAAATTTTATTATATTATAGTTAATTTAATATAGATTAAATAGATGATCATAGCTCAAAAAAGCATAGCATACTCAACTTTGCAATTGCTAAGTTTATTGTATAAGGTGAATTATGCAGATATTATAATTCTAGACACTCTACTATGGTAATACTAATCTAACTAGTGTTAAGCAAAAATTTTTTTACTTGCAAATATGCAAGTAAAATTTTTTTTTACTTATAACTATACAAGTTTTGTTTAGAATTTTAAATATTGCATTTAATATTTGTTTGCATAATCATATCATAGCAAAAATGTAACAAAAATGTAAATAAGTCTTCATGGGTCCTATCAGAACATTATTATGTTTTTTTCGATTTTAAACCCTACCATGACTTAAACAAATAATTATTAGGCTTATCAAAAATACATTTTTTAAAATAAACTAGAATGTTAATATTGTTTATATATTTGTTCTTTATTTGTAAACTCTAATAAGGTGATCAAAAAAGTACTGTATTATTTAAAAAGCTAGATGAGAATTCAGGATTATAAAGGTTTATTAACTTAAATTTAAGTTCATATCGACAGGTGAATTACATATCATTTATTATACCAAATAATGATCAGGCATTTTTCAGTCCAGTAATTCAAGAAACCAGTAATCTTATAATTAGAGGACCTTTGATCATGTAGATCAAAGTAAAAAGAACATAACAAATAGCTTTAATCATTTGCATTAACTTTTCAATTGAGTTTGGTTTATCTATTACCTCTTATATTTTTTACTTTTTGATATGTTATCTTTATTATTTAACCATTTTACATTTTATTATAGAATAAATTACATATCTCCTATTAACTCTTTAGTTAGTTTGGGTGTTTCATATATTGAAAGCATAATCATCAATATTAAAATCAATAATATTTTAAAAATAGTTAGTAAATATATTTAAATAGTATATCACAAATAAAGAGTATAATATGATTATCATTTTATCATAAATTAAAACATATTAATTTTCTTAATATAGTAGTTTGAATGAGAAATAATTATTTATTTCAAATAGCAAGTACATCAGCAAATTTAATAGGGCGTAATATTGCGCAATAATTTACGAAGCGTAAGAAAACCGTAATATTACGTAAT